GGGGGGGGGGGGGGGGGGGGTCTCGAAAACCTCCCTTGTAAGTGGTCTCTAGAAACCACATTTAAACGTCGTGGTCTAGTATTCGTATTTAGATAAGTAATTTGGAGTCTCAGAGTCTCATACTCTACTAGTACATTTTAATAAACAATATAAATTATCAAATCAGAAAATTCTAGATACGCATTTGTCATTTATCCCAAATTTTTATTTTCATAACTAAATATGTCCTAGATTAAAGCTGACCAAATCAAAAATTATGGGTACTCGATCCCTGGTTTGGCGACTGAATTGTGGCGAAGCATAGGCATAGACCCCGAGACCACACCTAACCACCTAACCCTGGGTGAAATTGGGTTGGAGTCCATATTTGCCAATCAACTACAACAGGACTTGGAAAGAGAGTGGAAAATTAAAATCACCCTGAACCAGATCAAAAGTATCACAATAGGCTTATTAAAGGACTACGAGGCTGGTAACGTGGATAATATTAAGGCACATATCGACGACATTAAAAGGTCCAAGGCTAAATTGTTGAATCAAAAGTTCGTAATGCCAACCGAAAAGTATGAGCGTCTGAATACCGTAACCAAGGGTCGACCCGTTTATATAATGCCAACCCTAGGCCTCAACTTTCAAATATTTGGTGACTTAGCTCACAAGTTGACGCGTCCAGTGATTGGTCTAAATTGGGCCAGGGAGGTTAGCCAACTTACCACTCTCAAAGACATTAACAAGTATTACGTTGATTTATTGCAACGCCTGGAGCCAAAGGGCCAGTACGATGTGGTCGGTTATTTCGATATGTCTATAGTTTGCGCTAAATTATTGCTGAAAGGAATGGTAGATAAGGCGGTTATTGTGGACATCATTAGTGATCTACATTTTTGTGGTGAACAGCTTTCCGACGACCTAATACTAGAGCTGATGCTGCAGTTAATGGCCAGTTATATACCGGAGTTATTCAGACAGAAAATACTCAGAGATTTTAAAAAGGAGCCTGATATTAACGCTAAGGTGCGGTTTATTGTCAATGAGATCCTGGAGTTTGCCGGCAAAGGACTACAGGCGCCCGATATGGAGGAGATATTTCACGTAATGATAGCCCGGATTCGTATGCTATCGGAGTATAGACTCAATAAACACAAGAAGTTTTCAAATCGACTGAAACTCGCGATCGCAAAGAAATGGACGAAAAGAACGGGGAAATTGGTTTTCATTAAACCGGTTGTGTTTGATGGCGTCGATGATGTGGATGAGCTGATGGAAAAGTCAAGGGATTTGTATTTCATACCCGGCTCAAATGTATGTATTATTTATTTTAGCATATTTAGTATTTTTAATATTTTATAACATTTCCAAATAGGATGGACAGCATAATATCGAGATGAATACCGTCCACACTATGAGCGCTATGGACGTGATGGTCGGGGAGGTCGTCTCAAAAATAATCGCAGCTCTTAAATAAATAAATTAAACTAAATATATAACCTGGTTCAAAATAAACTATATTATATTTTAAATGGTTTTGCTTTTAATAATATTTTTTAATCATTAAAGTTATTTTAATCAATAAATTGGCAAATTAAAAATTGTGTAAATTCAAAAAAGACAGTAAATAAACCATTTTTAACATTTAAAAATAAACATTTTAATTGATACAAGTGCTAGTTAATATTATTAATTTACCAGGTTTAATATTAAATATTCTTATCATTTTAACCTGCTCATTTCCAATTTACAAAGTTCACAAACTTAATAATTCAGTAAATATAAGGGATGTGAATATTTTAAAAGGATTTGTATAAAGTTTGATTTGATTTAAATTATAATTAGTATTTAATATCTTCTAAAAATGATAAAAATTTGATTTCAAAATACTAAAAATTATTTGCTTGCACCGATACTATATCTTGTGTACAGAATTTTCTAAGTTAAAAATTAATTTTCTCTATGTATTCATTTTATAATTGTTTTATTGTTAACCTTTACCTGTATTTTCAAAATTCAATTAATTTTTAACTTAGAAAATTCTGTGCACAAGATACAGTATCGGTGCAAGCAAATAAATTTTAGTATTTTGAAAGACAATCCCAACAAAGTTGAGATCACCCAGATCCATTGAGTCGTTGCTGAGATTAATGAATTTAAACTCATCACAATTTCACAAATAAATAATTTTTTAAAATCATAATAATAAATGGGGTCTTTGGTCGTAAAAAGCAATAAGGACTTTGTTTTTCGTATGGAAAATCCCAGCAAAAGTGGGCAAAAGGATTCTCGATGAATTAATGACGCTGAACTTTCAGGTCCATGTCAAACCTATGGGAAAATTGTGTATAATGATGGTGTATGACGGGTGTGTCAAAAAATGTCGGTTGCGGTACTTAAAATCCCATAGCGTTCAGCGACAAATGTAGATTCAGGGACATGTGGTCGAAAAGTACAACCAATGTAAACAAAGCCCCATATTATGTCTACGGGATTTTGAAAAATGGCTCAAACGTGCGCATATTATGCACTCAGTTGACATTAATTTTGCTAAATTATCCTATGTTAAGCCTATGGGGAAATTTAATTAAATGAGCTTTAAACCCAATGCTAATCCTATGGGACATTGGTTCAAGTGGCCCAATATCTCATGTTAATATTATGGGAAAATTGACTACAAAGTGCTCTATATCCCATGCTAATCCTATGAGAAAATTGGCTACAATGGGCTTTAAATCCCATGCTTATCCTATAGGGAAATTTAATCAAATGGTCCCATAATCCAATGCTAATCCTATGGGGAAATTTACTCAAATTGCCATAAATCTTATGCTTAACCTATGGGACATTTGCCTCAAATGTTCCAAATATCCCATGTAAATCCAATAGGGCATTGGTTTAAATGACCCACTGACCCATGTTAATCCAATTGGAAATTTGATTATGATAGGTTAGGTTAGGTTAAGTAGAATTTGATTGGTTTAGGTCAGGGAGATAAATTTTAATTTATCTTCTTGTGCGTAGTAGGTCGTTCCATATAATACCTCTAACAATACCTATGGCTTTGAGTTTCACTTATTTCAAATTATGTCAACTAGTGATGTATATACTTAATTCATTTTTAGCTTTAAACACAAATTTTTATACAAATCCTTTTAAAATATTCACATCCCTTATATTTACTGAATTATTAAGTTTGTGAACTTTGTAAATTGGAAATGAGCAGGTTAAAATGATAAGAATATTTAATATTAAACCTGGTAAATTAATAATATTAACTAGCACTTGTATCAATTAAAATGTTTATTTTTAAATGTTAAAAATGGTTTATTTACTGTCTTTTTTGAATTTACACAATTTGAGCAGGTTAAAATGATAAGAATATTTAATATTAAACCTGGTAAATTAATAATATTAACTAGCACTTGTATCAATTAAAATGTTTATTTTTAAATGTTAAAAATGGTTTATTTACTGTCTTTTTTGAATTTACACAATTTGAGCAGGTTAAAATGATAAGAATATTTAATATTAAACCTGGTAAATTAATAATATTAACTAGCACTTGTATCAATTAAAATGTTTATTTTTAAATGTTAAAAATGGTTTATTTACTGTCTTTTTTGAATTTACACAATTTGAGCAGGTTAAAATGATAAGAATATTTAATATTAAACCTGGTAAATTAATAATATTAACTAGCACTTGTATCAATTAAAATGTNTACAACTATTCAACACTAGTTATTTATACCTTTATAAGTTTTAGTCATAAATATTACAAATATAACAGGTGAAAAATATTAAAAGTTTGTTAATCATAAAATGAGCATATAATCAAGTTTAACCTATTTTATACAAATAAATTTAGTTTTGAAGCTGTGATTGAATCTAAAAATGTATTAATGTATTAGTAATTTTAAATGTCTATTAAGTTTATTATGACATAAATAACTAAGGCTCTTAATAATTTATAAGTTTATCAAGTATAGACTATTAGTTTATCATCCTTATTTTTGGGTGATTTTAACTTTTGGAACTCAATGACCTATGGTATGGTACCATAGGTATTGTAAATTGGTACGCAGACCATTGTCTCTTTAATTAAGTAAAATATTACTAAATGTAATTGTGGTGGTGTTGGTTAAGGTTGGGTAGGGTAGAGCTCGTTAGTTCAGGGAGTTCTATATTATTTATCTACCTGGACCCAGTAAGTTGTTCCATAGCCTACCTTTAACAAAACATATTTAATAGTGTTTTATTAATTTATGATGAATACTAGAATCGCGGTTAGGCATCGAATTGCCTGTCAAACCTTGTTATAATTTAATTTCATCTCTTTGTTATGTTTACCAATAACATTTTCATAATAATAGTCTTAGCCCAGTTATTATTTTTATATTAAAAAATTATTATTAAATTTTCATTCTCATTATTAATAATAGGCTCAAATTTTGTGCATTAAGATTGCAATATAAAATCTTCGCCAAAATCGTGTTTACTCGTTTAACCCTTAGTCCGTCCCGTGGCCGATTTTTAGGGAAAATCAACTTTAAACATAAATTGTAATTTTATGAAAAACTACAAACAAAAAATTTCAGGAATGCCTCGAGAAGTTATTTAAAAGTATAAATAATTAATCAGAATCATAATCAACAATGTTTAAATTTTTAATTTAAATTAAACTAAACAAGAAATCATTATTTCACTCATTTATAAAAGGCCTAAATTGCTGATTTCCTATTTGTCATGCGGCAATTAATACAGTTAATGCAATCCTATTTTTCGGCCACTGTGCACTTAGTACGCCGGCCTAATTATTTGGCCACGGTACATAACTATTACAAATATAACGGTGCAGAGGGAGGGTTAATTAAATTTAAAAATACTTAGAATTGAGCTAGATTAAAACAAATTTTTTTGAAACTATGGTTTTATTGCACCAACACATTGATATTACGACTTTTACCCAATTCTCAAAGGAACGGTAGGGGACGGTAGTTTTTGAAAATCGTAAATTACTTAACAAGTATATAACATTTTAAGGTTTTGATTTTTGGATATGATTCACAGGGCCAATACCAAAAAACTAAATTCTGGATTTTGCAAAATTTTGCCTTGTTGATTTATTATAAACTGTAATTCACAATTTTCAGTAAAATTATTTAATTTTGATTTAATATTCATTTATTGAGACTAAAATAATTTTTATAAAATTAGTTTCGTAAATATTTTTATTAAAACATTGAATTACAGTCTGTAATAAATCTAAACTTGTGAACATATAAGTATGAATTGAATAAAAAGTGTGAAAATTTTTGCATGTTTAAAATTATATTCCTTGTATAAAATTTTGGTTAATACCGACATGGACAAATCATATACCAAACAAAACCCTAAATATCCAGCTACAATTTAGTGAATAAATGGATGAAATAAACAAGACGATATTTAAATAAATTAAAATCAAAGTAGCACTGCCATATTTTGGCCGCCCTGTAGTTATAATTTATCTTATCTTGTAATAATAAATGGCTATCATTTTTGAATTAATAATGATTGTTTTCTATATATTTTAATAAAATACTGTATAATATAATGTTTTTATCAGAGAAATAGATTGAAAGTATAAATATTTAATGAATTATAAAGAACTATTATAATCAGTAATTATAGTTTTATAAATATTTTTGAATAGTGTAATGTAAATAATATTTATATAACTTTATTTGTAAGTTTGATCTTATCTAATATTATTTTAATTAAAAATATATATACCTAAATTATATTATTACACAACACGTTATATTATTCGAACGTGATTTCAAGGGTCAAGTATCGCTATAATGTGGGTATGGCGGGTCAAATATTGATATAATGTGGGTATGGCGGGTCAAATATTGATATAATGTGGGTATGGCGGGTCAAATATTGATATAATGTGAATATTTAATGAATTATAAAGAACTATTATAATCAGTAATTATAGTTTTATAAATATTTTTGAATAGTTCAATGTAAATTATATTTATATAACTTTATTTGTAAGTTTGATCTTATCTAATATTATTTAAATTAAAAATATATATACCTAAATTATATTATTACACAACACGTTATATTATTCGAACGTGATTTCAAGGGTCAAGTATCGCTATAAAGTGGGTATGGCGGGTCAAATATTGATATAATGGGGGTATGGCGGGTCAAATATTGATATAATGTGGGTATGGCGGGTCAAATATTGTAATAATGGGAGTATGGCGGGTATGGCGGGTGTGGCGGGTATGGCAATTAAGACAGTCCCATAATTTCTTATTTTATTTTACCATAATTTTAATATAAATAACAGTTTGTAAGAAATAGTAGAAAATATGATTTTAACCATTTCCTTACATAAAAATTTAGTTGATACTATATAGACATGATATTTATTAAATTATACCTGAAAATCAAACATGTCAATGAGGGCATAAAATGAATTACTCCTGGTGCTCGGATAATAGCCCGATAATATAGCCATATTAGGGTTGACGCGATACACTGTCAGG